ATAGGTTGATAAAGTTAAAGTTGAGATGCAAATGAGTTGCTAAAAATGTTTCTTAAAAGCCAGAGAACTCTAGTCAGGACCAAGAGCTGCTGTCCACTGCATAACATGCAGAGTTGGGTAATTCAGGTCCAGAGAGTAAAAGTCCAGACCGGGATTTTGTTTCAACCAGCCAGGTGAGCATAAAGAGTCACAGTCACAGAGTATTCAGCTGGTTGGTTGAAACAAAATCCTAGTCTGGACTTTTACTCTCTGGACCTGAATTACCCAATTCTAATAACATGTTCACAAAATAGAGCACTGAGTACAATGATAGTTTATGTATTTGTCAGACACACTGGTCACACTTTATTTGAGAGCAGTAAATGCTTATTTAATGCATTAATTGGCACTGTGGAGGTGTGTTTTTCCGGAAACATCAGTACCATCAGATGTCTTTCAGAGTGCAGAGATAGGATCACTAGTGACACTTTTCCACTGCCACCAAGAACCAACCTATGCCCAAGCTGTACCGCGAACTGAACGGTTTCCATTGTAAATCATGCGATCCATACCCGAGCCGTACCCGTGCTGACATGGCCCTGCTTACTAGCGGGCCCAACAGCGTGACCAAACCAAGTTGGTTGTGTCACCACTATCTGATCGGTCGAAATATAAGGAGATACTGATGTTCTGCGTCAACATGCAGGGATTTTCTGAAGGAAAAAAGGGCATATTCTACAAATTATTCATTATTAGTGGTATCGTAAATCGCGAAGTATCGATGCATTGCTGATAACTAGGAACTAGAAAATTTCCAACCACCTACTTAAAGTACTACAGAACAGCTGCACGGAATGGATTCGTAATGCAAATTTAAGTAAGTGAATGCTAATTCCCTTAGTGTTTGATGCTAGCGTTTGAACATAGGATGGAGATTCTCACAGACTTGCTAGTGGAAATTAGCAAATCATGATACACACCGTGTGAACAGTAAATAAGCATCTTTTCACTGACGCTCTCCAACACCATTACCGAGAAGAACCTTATGCAGTGGAAAACCAAAGCGAGCCAGAACTGTGCTGGAAGTAGTCTCTCTTCACGGTAATGGAGAAATGAAGGGGCAGCCATAATGTAAAACACTTTAAATGTAATGTTCTGAAAATGTGCTGTACAAATAAAATTGAATCAAATGCAGCCCTTCAAGTAAAGTGTCACTGACACATCTTTATCAAAAGTGAGCAAGTTGAGGATAAGGTCTTTTCTCAAGGGCCCAAATGTGAAACCACTCTGTTCATCCTGGGATTTAAACCAGCAACAATCCTATCACAGGTTCAGCATCCTAACATGCTGAGCCAAACACTGCCCTCTGAATACTGAATGAATGTTGAAAAACCTGCGTGTTACTATCTTACCATGTTTGACTTAAATTCTTTTATAACTCTGCCTGTTGTTGTCACATTCTCTCACACCCCTGTCAGTTATGCTCTTATGGAAATCAATCTTCAAATTGGGTTGGTTCTGCGTTCTGCCTATTTGGGACCAGAGTGTAAATAATCCTCCTGGCAGTCCTGGCGCAGATGCAAACAGTCAATGTATTTCGGGCACTCAACAGGGAGAGCAACTATGAACGTAGCTGGTATATAGACCTTGGCCATTGTATGAGGGAGAACTGAGCGCAAATACTATCCTGCAATCCTTGATTCTCAGCCCAAGGTGACTGATTTTCTTAGGAGAATGCTCAATGTAACCAATCAATAGGGAGGCCAGGAGAGTAAAATGAGGAAGAGGGACGGAGAGAAAGAGTGAAACGCTCCTGGTGGATACGCTATCAAGCTAATGACTCAGATGATGGGAACATTGTGTCCTTTGGCGTTATTTATACTTTGAGGGCTGAAACTCACACTTTCCAATCAATGTCAGTGGATGGATGGGAATAGGGATTGCACAGCCTTAAACAGGGTTTTCTTATATTTCTTATGCTTCTTTATTATTCTTAAAAAGGAAACATATTGTCTTATATCCATAATTGAATTACCAATTGGCAGTCTTGTGCAGGGTTGATTCTACAATGTATCTAGTTGGCAGTTTTCCGATATAAAAACCAACAGTGTAGCTTTGCTCTGGTAGGTGTCTATGCTGGTGTACCAAAGGGATAAATCATACAACAACTCGGTGTTTTCCCTAAATAAAAACTGATTCCTCTGTCTCACAGGGTTTGAAACTGCGTTTTCTTGGCAATGTTGAATGTCTGCTGGTGAAACTAGTTAGGTGAAGAAACTCAAATTCCGCCACAGAATGTTTATCACTGAGGCTGTCGGGTGACTCAGAAAGAGGCCAGACAGTTTGATTCTGTACTACGCCCCAGACATGTTGGAAATGAGGTGCTGTTATTTGATCATAGCCGGCACTGAACTACCAGAGGGGATATGTGGGGGTCAGATAATTCTGTAGTCCCCTATTCAACACTTTGACTACTAAAATAGTTATTCGTTATATTAGCATATTATACCAAAAATGGTTTCTTTTAGATAGTGACTAGCAGAGCATTGAATAAATGTCAAATGAATTATGTCCATCATTTTCTCTTGTTCATCACTGACATCTTTGCCTCAGAATGACATCTATGAGTGGTCCCGGGATCACCGGGTCCACCATAAATACTCAGAAACTGATGCTGACCCACACAACGCCAAGCGGGGTTTCTTCTTCGCCCACGTGGGCTGGCTATTCATGCGGAAGCACCATGACGTCATCGAGAAGGGCAAGAGGCTGGACTTCAGTGATCTCCTGGCCGACCCGGTGGTGGTGTTCCAGAGGAAGTGAGTTTCACACGGGCTGCTTAACGATGACCAACAAATTACAACTAACAAAATCCATTGTTTTAAGGTACAAATCCTCCATTTTATAAATTCACATTCAACTCCCACTAAGTTGCAGTCCATGTGGGCATGTATATCTGAATAGGTGCCTTTGCAAAGTCCTGAAATCCATGTATTCTTCTAATGTTGCAATGTCTTAAGTCTACGCAGAGCTTTTGTTTTACTCATTTTGAGCTTATTTTTTGTTTTACATATAGAGAATATGACCTATTATTCCATCATTGGATTAATTCCTCAATACAAAAGGTATATTTGGTTTTCAGTAAGGCTATAGCTCACCAGATGGCGTAGTGACAGATAACCCTTTGCTGTTTGGCCCAGGTACTACAAGATTTCTGTTGTGCTAATGTGCTTCATAATCCCCACACTGGTGCCATGGTACTTTTGGGGTGAGACCTTGTGGAACTCGTATTTCCTGTCCTCGATCCTGCGTTACACCGTCTCCCTCAATGTCGCCTGGCTGGTCAACAGTGCTGCCCACATGTATGGCAACCGGCCATATGACAGGACCATCAGCCCCCGTGAAAACCGATTTGTCGCTTTTGGGGCCATTGGTGAGTAGAAGCCTAAGGTCAAGAATCATGTGGTGACATTGTCACTCTTAGCCCTCGAAGGTGTCTATGACTTTCCACTTTGGAAGAGTACACAGGAAGTGCACTGTGAAGTAAGATGAGCACTCCATAATCTTCATTCTCCTTTGCATAATACATACTTTTCATTCAATTCCATCTGATACCCAGTAGGCACCTAGCTAATTACACTCAGGTGACAGAGGGTCCCAGTTACTAACACATTCAAAAGAACACAAATCGATTGTTGGCTCAACTTTCTTGTTGACCCAATGGCAAAGATCTGGTAAAAACCATTGACATCCACAGTCCTGACATACATCAACCAAACAGTTATGCATTCACTTATTTCCATAATTATTTCTAAAAGTAACCCAGTTTTCTCTGCCTCCTGATGTTCCAGGTGAGGGTTTCCACAACTTCCACCACACGTTCCCCTTCGACTACTCTACCAGCGAGTTTGGCCTGCGCCTCAACCCCACCACGTGCTTCATTGACCTGATGTGCTGGCTTGGCCTGGCCAGTGGTTGTAAGAAGACCTCACCTGAGATGATACAGGCTCGCAAGCTCAGGACAGGGGACAGCAGTGCCTGAGGACTCATTGGCAGAAACCGGAGATAGATCACCATTCATACGGCTAGAAGGGAGGACCATTACCAACCACATTTTCATGTTTTAAGATTAAGCCTAATGTTTTGAAACTATCATCAAGGGCGGGTATATTTCTTCATTGTTTAGCCACCATTTCACTTTGCTGAGATTTTTCCACTTCTTAAACAGCATGTTTTATTTTCAGGTTTCTTGATTGGATTCTGATAGCAGTATGTAACGAGCAACTGATCACAACATTGGTTTTGTGTGTCATTGCTGTCGGTCTTCACACTCCAAAACTACTGTGTTCATGCTGAAATGGAAATCATGTGTACAGCTGTTACTGCCTCAAAGTTGAGGTGTGTTTTTCCGGAAACATCAGTACCATCAGATGTCTTTCAGAGTGCAGAGACACGTAAGCAGCTATGTAAAATTACCTTGTATAATCTGAAAGGCTGTGTGCCATTATAGTGGACCGATACTATTGCATGTTCTAGATTCCCGTTTGGTGCAGTGCTGCAGTGATGCAGTGGTTTGTGCTGTTCCTCACGCCTCTCGGATCAGGGTTTGAGTCTCTTCCAATGATTTTGCATGTTCTCTCCATTTTGTTGTGGGATTCTCTCTGGTACTCCAGTTTCCTCCCACAGTCCAAAAACATACAGAGGTTAATTGGAGTTACCAAATTGCCCATAGATGTGTGTGTGAGTGAATGGTGTGTGAGTGTGCCCTGCGATGGTTTGGTGTCCCATCCTGGGTTTTTCGCTACCCTGTGCCTGTAGCTTCCAAGATCGACTTTGGACCCCTCATAACCCTGAATAGGATACATAGTTACAGAAAATGGATGGATGGATGGAGATATCTATCTCTCAACAACTGGAGAGACTGCTCTGTTGTTTCTGGTAGCTTATTTTATTTTGGATGATGAATTGGGTGAAATCTTATGGTGACACCATAGTTGTTACAGTATGATTATGAGTTTCCAGTTAAATTCCATTTTATGATTGTCAGCTAAGTTAATTATTTTTCGTAATTGAAATCAATATTCAGCAACTATATTAGTTAAACCATATGTTTATAAAGACTGATATTTATTTTAGTTGATAACTTAGTTTCCTGAAGGACAGACTACATCCTTCACCACTTGGGAAAAATTATTTGCATGCTTTGTTTGATAATTTTTTCCCATCCTTTGCACTTTACCATGTGACGGTTGTGCAGGTATGGAGTTCCTGTGTTCTTCATGGGAAAGTCTTATGAAACTGTGCTGGTCTTAAAGTGTTTGCACTCAGCTTATTCGTGGCTGTACCCTCCCCATAGCGTCAGTGCCCGAAACCTGCTTTCTGTCATTGCTGAATGTTTAGAAGTTTGGGCTGATGGTTGTGTTGTAATAGCTGAACCTTTTTACTGGTATGGTTTGAATTCGATATTAAAAAAAAACAATGAATGGACAGTGAACATGAGATGTTTTGCATTGACAGCGACACACCCATCTCCACAGTCTGTTACTTTCTAGTTCTGCGGATTTAGCAGTTAACCTCGAATGCCTCTTTTAACTTATTAACTGAGTATTTCTGTGCATTTTCCAGGCTTTCCTTTCCTGACATTTTGGGGATCGTAACTTGCTCTAGTATCCAACCAGTCACTATATCGTAATACATTTTACAGAGAGAAAACATTTGCAATAATCATCTGTAACATTATTAAAAGAGTAGATTGAAAGAGGTAGGCTATGTTAATGTCATTGTCAGCTAGCTGATTGCTAAACAACTGCCAAGCACTTAATTGCACATGGTTGACTGCCGATACAGAAATATTCCCCACTGACAGTAAGTCCTTATATCACACTGCTGCTTGTAAGGCGATTGGTCATTAGGGTTCGCTGAGGCAGATCTGTGCTTCACACACTGCCAAGAAGGCAGATGTTTTACCATCGATCACAGCCACGATGTGTCTTCTGGTCTCCTTTGCAGTAAACTCTTCTCCTATATTGGTACACGGTTTATCAATACTAAGAAAGCAACAAATGATCCTGGGATGCAATGAATTATGGGATAGTTCCCATCAGCAAGGATGCAACCAATGCATCCCTGATGTTTGCTGCTGGGCAAGAACAACATCCGGGTATTGTTGCCATGTTCCGTAGTTCTGCTCTTGAGTACTGGAACTGTACTTCGGCAATGGAAGATGACATCAAGCGGTATGCAAGAACACAAGAATGGTCAAGTATGGATATTCATAAAAACCCCCAGAGGAGGAAGGACCAGTGACAGCACCAACCAGGAGCTTGAGATGAGATCTTCCTAAAGCATTCATAATGCATAATACACATGGCTGTAATAGTGTTATGCCTTTTGATAAATATTTATAGCCATTTTTATAACGCGTTATAAATGCATAATTATTTGTTATGAATGTGTTAAGGCCAAGTTTTTAGACATTTCTAAAGTTTTATCAAATTTATTTAGTAGAGTCCTATTTAATTATCCAACATAGCACAGAGCACATGCATAGCACATTGTGTCTTTGTTGGCACATCAAGCACGTAGCCACATAGTTAAATTATGGGTTTAAACGAATGCNCCCCCGCCAAGAAGAAATTTGCTTCGGATCAAAATGTTGCAGCCAATTACGAATATTCTGCCCCCCCTGCCCCCCGATTGGTGAAATAAACCAAGGGGAGCCCCACCCCTGCTCAAGTCGGCAAAATCGACCAAAGGACTTAAGTTAAAGACCTGGGTCTAATTAATCTAGCTTCCTCATAGCATCTGCAACATTCAATCACTGGCGCTGCCACTGGGGTTAGCTGAACAAATTAAACCAGGGAGTCTTTTTTTTTACCTGGGACAATGGTGTTTAAAAATGTAATCTACATCATTTTTTTCAATAAAAACATTTTGCCACAGACACAGACAAGTCCATGTATGGACAGGCTGATGAATGTATGCTGCACATTGACGGAAACAAACTGCCACAGCTTCAGAGATCACCTTAAAATAAACGGCAAATGCCATTGCTGCAGAAAAAAGATGAATCTCATTATTTTGCTATTTTTGTGTTGCTCTTTTTCATGTACTCTATCTTCACAGAAGATGCTGAATGACCTAACATCAAAATGAACATTTCATAGCACTTTTAAACGTGGTTTCAGACATATTTTTCTTACTTGCTTACATCGCCTTGTTCAATCTGTATACTAAAGACTGGTGATATGTACAGTATGTTGTGGTTCATGCCTGTTTTAAAGTAAATGGGATGTTTATTGTCTAAGGATTTATCTCTTTAATGAGGCCACTGAGGTTTGTATTTCTGTATTTTTCATATAGGGAGGCCATTGAGGTTTGTAATTTTGGATTATATATAGGGGCCTACTGTATTTGCCATCCAATTTAATTCATAAATTTTACATGCAAACTGGGACACACACTAAGGCAGCCTACTCAGTGAAAATATTTATAATTGGCGTAAATATTAACTACTGTTGAATGCCATGTATCTCAAAGAAAGGTAGCAGTTAGAAAGCCTGGAATGAATTAACAGGCCTACATAACACAAAGCCATCCTGATACACAACAAACTGAATTTCAGTCCCGCCACATTTTTTTCAATTAACATGCTTGTTTACGTGGCCTATTTATAATACGCCTATAAGTATCCCCCACTTTACGAACTTTCCCTTTACATAACTTCATTTTACAGAAGACCTACATTAGCACCTGTTTTCGCTAATAGAAACAAATTTGAAGAGGACTTCCGCTTTTACAAAAAAAAAGAGTGAAGCGGAAATAGCGTTAAGCATTTTTTATCAAAGAATCAGTTATAAATATACGGTCATGTGCTGCATAGAATTCGGTCAACAATAAACCACATATACAACAGTAGTCCCATAAGATTACAATGAAGCTGAAAAATTCATAGCTGTCATAACGTCATAGCTTAAGGCATTACTGATGTGTTTCTTGTGATGCTAGTGTAAACAAACCTACTGCACTGCCAGTCATATAAACCTACAACACATACAATTATGTACAGTACATAATACTTGATAATGATAATAAACAACTATGTTACTGGTTTATGTATTTACTATACTTTACATTTTATCGTTATTTGGGTTATATGGCATATAGTCTAGGTGTGTAGTAGCTATACCATCTAGGTTTGTGCAGGTAGACTTCATCATGTTCTCATGTTTATCATTGCCTAATGACACATATTGTCATGTGTCAGGAGCAGGTGAGCCGGGAAGTAGGCGAGAGGAGCCGGACGAACGGGTAAACAGGGTTTTAATTGAAACGAAAAGGCAGACATTCACTAACACGCATAACAATACAATGACTAATCTGACAAGACTGACTGAGACTAGGACTAAATACAAGAGACAAGGCAAACGGAATAGGGAACAGGTGACGACAATCAGGATTCCGACAGGAGGTAATGAGGGGGCGTGGCACACACAAGGAACGTTCGGAGCTGAACGTGACACATATATTTTCATGGCTGTTTTAGGGGCTATGTGTGGTCTGAAAAGATGTCCGTCTTGGGCTAAATGTGAGCCCAAACAGATGGACTAACCCAGCCAAATTTTCAACAACTATTTCTTGTCAAAGTAAAGGCCATAAGGGGCCGACCAGACTTAGCCCAAAAATCAACGGTCATGGATGTCTGGTGCTCAGTGGGACTTATCAGAACGTATCCCTGTTATTAAGCAAGTTTTATGTTTTATGTGTCATTTGGTATGATTTGGTAGGGTATTTTTTGGTCTGGGAACGCTATTTCCTTATAAATTAATGGTAATTGCTTCTTCGTTTGCGCCAGTTCGGCTTACGGCAAGTTTCACTGTAATTTTGGATAGCAGGAGAGACCTGTATTGGTAGTTGCAAGTCACACAGTATCACATTATGTATTCTGATACAACTTAATGAATCTATGATAAGGTTACTAAGCAAGGATATGTCACACACACTAGAGGTTTGTATATAGAATTTAAATTAATTAATTATTTGTATCTTGCATCACATGCTGAATATGGAAAACCTTCGGCAACTCTAAAGAAATACATCGATTACTGAATTAACAGTCTCCTCTGACTTTAAATTTCAGGAACTAGAGCGGATACTGACCTGTGCAATAGATATGTGAAGTGGTTCCTTGGTCTGATAATGATAAATGCACTCATCACTGTATCAAAGAAATCAAGTGATTCTTAACAATTGTGTGTCTGTGTGTGTAATTATTACATTGTGGGGGCAACATTTCCCCACAGTCTGATAAAAACCTATGACTTTTTACCTTGTGAGGATAACCTCAATTTTATATAAAAAAAAATTATAAGTCTATGAATGCAATCAAAACGCTAAAAATGCCGAAAGTCTTGTATTTGGTTTGATTATTTATGATTAAGGTCAGGGCTGGGTAGGGGTTAAGGTTTTCAATGTTGGGAGTAGGGTTATGCCCAGAGAAAAGAATGGAGAGGCCCCAGAAAGATATCAATACAGGAACTGTGTGTGTGTGAGCCTCTGTCCAAAAAGTCACACAAGGTCCCGCACCAAACCACAGGTTATATTGTTCATGATAGTGCTTGATGTTTACAATCCCCATCATTAAATACGCGTATAATCACCACCATAATATTGGCCTTCATGTATAAAGGTCTATCATCACCACGATACACATACTTTCAGTACTACTCCGTCTGGAGTGGGAGCGCAAAAACGCGATATGTTTGTGCTTCCATTATTGGCAGAAGGATTTTATTTACACGAAAAATTAAAATATTATAATTATCTTTAAATTATCGCCGATCGTCCGATTAAACTGTGGGCCGTAGCCTACGCATTACGGAAATCGGGATCACTCGTCATATAAATACATGATTCGTATAGTCAATTAATTATTAAACATAGTAACGAGCAAGTATGAACAACGCAAAACGAATGTAATATTTATGTAGGCTAGTAATGTATTACATTTAATTACACCTGGACGTCGATTTTCAAAATGAATTTGCATTAATACTGTACAGCATACAGTAGGTAAATGAAATGTTATGTTCCTTCTTCGGTGTCCCAGTCATTAGTTTTGTTTGTATATTCCTGATAAGGAGGGACATGCGACAAAGAAGGCTGAGGTGTGGATGGATGTCGCCGCTCCCGGACCGCGCCGCCACTTTGCGCCCACGCCGGCAGCTTTTGCGTCCAACAAGAGACTGCAGATGCAGCCTCCTAAAAGCATGAAGATCGCCATGGGCGCGTTGAAATGAAGAGGAAGCGCTCCTCACTCACAGGAAGTACGGTGTATTTTTAAGGAGCACGGCATTGTCAAGAAGCACGGCATTACTGTAATCGGAGCGGCTCTAGCGGGAGCAGTGGAAGCACACAGCAGCAAGGGCACTCTTCATTTACAGGTTGTAGTATAAAATAATTCATATACCGCATTAAGATTACTAATCCGATTAGCGTGATAACCGCGTGCTTAAGACATACCCTTTCCATATCGATTTAATAGCAAGGTAGGTGCATGTATATTATAGTAATTAAAACCACCTCTTATAAATTAAAAGGTACCAGAATATTCGCCCGTATACTTGATTAAAATTGCTTTATGTAAGGGTACCACCTCAGTCATTCTTTGGTACAAATACGGCAGATCTGTGGGAATTACTCTGCCAGTAGGTTTGCCAGGATGGCCAGATTGTAGTATTATTATATCCGCGATGTTGATTTGAATTTCACCGAGACCTTTTTATTTCTTATTAAATACAATGGTGTAAAAGAAAAACATGTATAAGGAGTCTGGGCAGAGTGACGTGAGTCATCATGTTGAGCGCTACTTATTAAGAGCCGGCTCGGTGTGCTGGTGGGGCGTTTAATGATGGGAGCCCACGCCTAGAGCTGCGGAGGCTTTGTAGCTGCTGAATTACATCTGTTTCCTCTTTTCAAAGGGGTAAGAATTAGACATGAAGACGTGCAATCCGTGGATGTTCCTCCCCATCATGTTCTGCGTTTTCACAACAGTAGGGCTTTGGGTTGTGTAAGATACTTTTCTTTCTTTCCCCCTACCTGTATATCCCTCCGTCCATCCATCCATCCATCCATCCATCTTAAGATCACAGTTTTTCCTAGAGCAGGTCATTCTGGTAGTACACCTAGCAAGTATATCTTTTATATTTATTTATTTGACAAATAAAAGTGTTTTGACTGGGTTACACTTCATTACAACAATTAATGAAATAGCACCGCGCCCCCCTCCCAATCTTGGGGCAGTGTGTGGCTCTGTGGGCTAAGCCTCCATATCTGTGATAAGAAAATTGCTAGTTCAAGCCTGTCCTCCACATAACAGTCATATGTGACCCCCAAACTTGCTCTCACCTGCATGTCTGTCTCATGGAGAGCAAGATGGGGTAAAGCAAAAAGAGATTCTTCCCATCAGGATTAATAAAGTATCACTATGTGATGACAGCGTTAAAAAATAATCTGTCAGTCCTGCTTGTACCATCAAATTTCACAATAGCTTAAATAATGATCCATTTATTTCCACCATTTCCCCTTGATGATAAAGTATCTGCATTCACTATTGAAATTCTATATTTCTAAATATCCTTCACAGGTACTTTATTGCTGTTGAGGATGGAAAAATAACATCACTCAGTTCAGAAACCAAGTAAGGTGCTTTTGTAATTATGTACAGAGAGTGTTAGTTCCTAGTGTCTGCTTCACTTTAAACATAGATGTCTAATTCATTTCAAAGTTACAGCCCAAACCACTCAGACTGGAATTCAAACTCAGAAAGCAAGACTAATGACATTTGGTTGTGCTGTTGCAAACCTCTACCATAAGCATCTGTTTTTTTTTTTGTCCTAGGAAATCAGGACCCTTGTCCCCACCATATATAAGGTACACAATGGCACAAAGCACAGCCCTGAGTGGGTGACTGCAACGCTCACAGTCAATGTTTGACAGGAAACGCGACGCTACAGTGTTTCTTTACATTCTGTGTCCTCCTTAGCATTGCAGGCGATGCGCCACCAGCCAGCTGCGTCTTTAGCCAAGTCATGAACATGGCCGCATTTGTAGGTATGAATAATGCTCAGTGTTATACTTTACTCAGACTTGAGAAATGAGGTTTGATAATAGGCTGTGTGGCTCAGTAGGTTGGGAGGCTGTACCTGTGATGGGACAGTCATTGGTTCAAATCCCATGGTAAGCAAAATAATGTCAAGCCTGTAACACCCCCACCCCAGTTGATCCGGGGGCTGTCTGACCCTGCTTTCTCAAATATATACATCACTTTGGGTAAAATTGTCTGCTATATAAATTAAATGTGACAGGGGGGGAAAATACTCTGGAATAAATATAGGCAGTTAAGGCTTGGCTTGTGAAGGGTGAGTGACCTTAGATGCTTATCTGCTACTTGGGGGTCTCTGATGGATTTGTCATTCTCCAGCCACAATCCTAAACACAAGCAGCATTTTCGATGTAGAACATCACTAAAGCACAAGTTAAAGAGTCAGTGGCACAATGGCCGTTTGCCATTCTTACTTATCAGTCACCTCCTCGAGCATGAAGAACACTTAGGGTATCTGCCCTTTATGATGCGGTGTTATGGGGGTTTATCAAGCTTCTGCAAGTTGCTGGTTGATGATGACTGAGGCTGTGCTGCTTGCCTGAAAGATGGCCAGCTCTTCTGCTGGTGCAGGGATTCAGTATAGCAGGGGTGTCCAATCTTATCCGCAAAGGGCTGGTGTGTATGCAGGTTTTTGGGATAACCTGTAGGTCAGCTGTTCAAACCCAGGTGTGAGGACTCTTCAGCCAATCAGTCCTCTAATTAGTAATCTAATTAGGGAGTTGCAGCGAAAACCCGCATACACACCGGCCCTTTGCGGATAAGATTGGACACCCCTGCAGTATAGGGAAGGCAGAGCTGGCAGGGATGTGTATTAGAGGTGCACACATCAGCTGAGCTCTGCCAGTGTGAGGGCACTATCAGCCCGATACCAGATTACAGTGAAAGTGGGTGAAGTCAATGAGAAGCGTAGTGCAGTAGCTACAGTGGTGGGATGCATGGGGGATGCTGCAGCTACTGAAGCATTTTTAAAAGTCCCGGAGTGAATCCTGCTTTCTGTTTCAGCATTCATCATTGGTGTCCTCCGATACCTGCAGCTGAAGCCCAAGGTTCAGAAGCCGTCGATGAATGTCATCAGCCTGGTGGCCATGTCACTCGCCTGCTTTGGCATGACGCTAGTAGGGAACTTCCAGGTTTGACAACTCTTTTTTTGATTGAATTAATGCATCCCATCCAGGGTGTCCCCCTTCCTTTTACCATGTGACACCTGGGACAGGCTCCAAGCTCATCATAACTCTATGCTGGATAAATGGTTGTAGAAGATAGATTGATGGAAGAATGGATGAACTTTTCATTATTTTATTCATTGGTACATAGTACTTTTAAGAAGCATAATAGATCAATGTGAGCATTTTACATGGTGGATTAATACTTATTTATGGATTTTGCTAATTTAAGTTTCCTTGTCTAACCATTGATCAGTGGTGACGCTTCATCAGATGAAATATTGCAGAACTAGGTCAGATATGTGCCTGTAAATCACTGCAGCTTTCCAGCGATGAGAGGTTGCACAATGTGGGAACTTCGATGACCTTTGGCTTGGGGACAATGTACTGCTGGTTCCAGTCGCTCCTGACCCTGAAGGTCAACTTCAGGAACGAGGGCCGGAGGCTCGGGATCCCCCGGTTCCTGCTTTCTGGGGCCATCAGCTCCTGCATACTGCTATGTATCCTTCCCAGCGGCTGACACGAACCACCAAAGGCTCTCATGGGGTTTCTCCACTGCACCAGGTATTGTACTTTTGGTACTTCACAAAAGTACCAAAAGTATGGTACTTCAAGGTGTTGCTTTTCTACTGGTGTAAAAACTGGTACCGGCACGGAATGACATCACAACGCGAGGCAGGGTATTTTGTACTGAATTCTAAAAATGGCTGTAGTATATTACAGGGCTGGATGATATGTAATATTAATACCAACATCTCATGTTATAAGTATAAATACTTTTTTTTGTTCTTGTCATGCCATCAAATTAAAGCTTGGGTCTCTTCATTTGTCCATTATTATTACTTTTTTTTATACTTCGTTTATTGTTGTTTTCTGAGTTTGTAACTTTTTTTAAGATGCCGGTTGTATTGCGTTTTGGAGGCAGGCTATTTGTGTGACCAACTAAGAGAAACCATTTGCAAATCCCACCCCATATTACCAAAGTGCCCCAGCTGGTTTGTTACCTTAAGTACTGGAACTTTTGGTACTGCCACTCAACCAGAATTCAGCAGAAAAGGGAAAGTATCAAAAGTATGGTACCTGCTGCAGTGGAAAAGCACCCATACAACCTGGAAGGTTCTGTGTGTTCTGATAGAACGTGACCTTGACGAAACCGCCACCAGATTCTGGGCTGATGACGCAGGGTCTGCACATACATGCCGCGCGGGCGCAGTGGGCGCTGGTCATGTTCTTCTTGGGCTTCCTAAGCTCCTTCGCCATTGAATTTCGCCACTACCGCTTCGAGATCGTCTGCAGCCTTGACCAGGAGCCCCCGCTGAGCCTGTCAGAGACATTCTCAGAAGTCTCGGAGTTCCAGTCCGATCAGCTGTAGGGCCATCCCAAATGTGTCCTCGTCACACTGCCTTATTCCCATTGATCTTTATGTGTTATTCTGGGGTTTTACAACTGCATGATTTTCTTGTTAAATAAATCTTGGGTACAACTGTTGTACATCTCACCCAGTAAGAAAACAGCAAGGACAGTAACGAGGTTAATATTAGTGTTTTATAGCTGACGGATAAATAAGCATGTTCTTTGGGCAGGAGGGGAATCAAACCTTAAAGACCAAACTGATTTTTCATAAAATTCCAAGGGTTAAAACACTAGAAAATCAATCTTGTCTTTTAGATAATCTCCCGGTTATTTCGTAGTTACTATATGGAGCACTTTTTTTGTAGCTGTGTTTCAAGTACAGTATGTCTGCGTTAAACCCTTTTAGTTAATCTACCTCTGCTATTATAACACATAAGTTTGACTATTCCAAGAATCCTTCAAAAGCGTTCCAACCTTCTAAAATTAATCAAGCTTCGTATCACCCAATACAAGTATTAAATATAATAATATAAATAATTTTGTCATCTAACTACTAAACAGAATGGCATTGCCGCTGTTACACAACAGTTCTTCGTAATGCTTCTTGGAAACCGGTTTTCTTTGTAGAATTCTTGAGAGCTTTGTGGTCTTGGACCTGCAAATATTTTACGCAAGTTTCATGGAATGTCTTTTAGGGTTTTTTTGCACTTATTTTGATCATTTTGCTGCTTATTATTTTTATTATTATGGTAACCCTTGTATCAAGGTTTACATAAACCTTGTTGGTTCATTCATTATTTGTGCAAGTTTCTTGAAGTTTGGTGGAAATTTTGTTAGGCAATTTTCCTGCCTTCCAGCTTTAATTATGAACCTGTTTTGCATTGTGCAAATATAACATCCAAAGGAAAAATGTTACAGTATTATTTTGCACGTTGTACTCTTTCTTTGCTATGAAGTACATGTACAAATTAAACTAGGGTTTTTCACAAGTTAAAAAGGAATCATTTCTGTTTATTTGACCAAATGTGTTCAGAACAGCCTGCAGTCTGATAAGCACATAAAACCATTTAATGTCATGTTTCCACAGGCAGCTGAATCACTAAAATCAGGGAAGTCACAAACCAAAGGAGAAAAACTGTAAATTGTGTTTTGTACCTTGTTTATCACAACAGAAACTTTTTTCCATGCATATTTTAATCTGTGACATTTCAGCTTCAATTATATCTCACGCCATGCTGCTGTTAAAATTAATTATGGGGGAAGCTGCAGATCAAAACCGAATAAGATACCTAGGGCTGCCACTAACAACTATTTTTCTATGGATTCATCTATCAACTATTTTACAGATTGGTCGATTAATCTAAAGGATTAATTTTCCCCCAGAGATTCAAACTAAGTTTGAGATCAAAGTTTAATTTAAGATGGTTTTATTTTCACAAAAACTATGACACTGAAGAGCTTCAGAAAATGGACGCCGGATTTTCGGCACTATATGGACATTATTTTCGCCCACAATTCAATAAATGGATTAGTAGTATGCCTAAAATATTAATGAAATGTGAATTGTGATACCAAAAAGTTAGTAATCGGTATGAATTCGGCATATCTTTATGTTTATTAAATTCGGTTAGTGGAGTACACCACATGTGACTGTTTTGGTAAATCATGGAAGCGACAAGCATTTAAGTCGCCACATATTTTAAAAGAGAAGACATTGTGGTTAAACTAGGTAGAAAAATGTTGCCGGTGTGGCGGTATAAGAAAATGATTAGATTATTTGATTTTTTTGTTTAAATCAGGGCTCTGAAACGGTTCAAGGAACGAAAGCGAAAAACGAAAACAAATGACATTGAACAGGAACAAAAACAAAAACGAAAACAAAATCAATTTTAATCGTTCTAAACAGAAACGGAAACAGAAATTCCAAATTAACCGGTTAATAACGGTATTTTTTATCGTTCTCTTAATTATATCAATTTGGCAGACCAAAAACATGAATTCAAATTGTGTGCGCAAATGCGACGGTGACGCATACAACATGAAATGCAGACCTCATAAGCAGAGCCCTTTCTGATGCGACGAGCTTAAGGTTACCAAGCACCTGGCTGTTTCATGTGCAAAGGTATGTTTAGGTTTAAGTTATTGTAGCCTAATTAAAACTTGTAGTTAAAATTACAAAAAATAATTACTGATTGTCTATTGTTTGTAGATGGGTCACCATAAAGAAAATCCCTTTCGTCAATTTTTTTCATATGACAAATCGTCTGATAAATCGATCTGTAATATTGAAGGATGCGGGCCAGAAATAGCAGGGAATCATGGCGGTAACCTGCAGAGACACATTCAACGTAAACATCCAACGAAATATGTTGATTCGACCAGCAATAAAAGGTCAGCAGCTGATGGACAAACGACTCTAGACCCGGTCGTAGTGAAAAAGCCAAAGACAACAGGCCTACATGTTCAAATGTCTCCAGAATATTTGGTATATTATAATTTAAGTTGTTGATCTGTTGTGTTAAATGTTAAAAAAAAATCTGTTTTTGTTTTATAATGTTACAATGCATTACGTTTTCTTTTACTTTTATGCATTAAATGTAAAATCATAACTATCTGGAGTTCTGTTTTGTTTGAGTGAAAATAGCCTATAATAGGCTATCATGCATATTAGGTAAGGAATAAGTCAACAGGTTTTTATCACAGATTAAGGCGTGTGGTCAGGATGTTAAGCGGATGGTCTTGAAGGGGCTTATTTCGCTATAGTATTATCAAACAAGAAAATTATTTTAAAAAAATTATTAGCGCATTTGTAACGAGTTTCCAGGTGAAACTCGGTTTTAAAGACAAGAAGTTCAAATGACATGAACACAGAATTTCTCGGAGTGAGCCGAATGGATTTTTTTTTCGTTTTTAAGCCCTGGTTTAAATACAAGGACAAAAGACATTAAATGCTCTCTGTACTAACTGATATTTAATAAACATGAATAGACAGCACTTACAGTGGTTTTGTCTACTCTGGCAGTCCATCATCTAGAATAGCGCTCGTGCATAATACTAGTGCCGCTGTGGTATGCCATTGAACTTTGCAGCATGTACAAATCACGTTTTTTTTTTTGTGATCATTTGAACTACTCCCATAATTAACTAGTAATATTGAAAAACATTTGTTATAATGAATTGAAGCATTTTAGAAACCATAACAGTAATTTCATTAAAATAATTTAATAAAACTAATTTAAAATATTGATGTCGACGCATTTTCAGCTTCCAACGTCATCGACTACATGAACAAATCACGCCAGCCCTAAAGCTAACCTCTAAAAATCTTAGGAATGTTTTTAATAAGTCCTATCCACAGGACTTACACCATAATGCACAACAGTCCAAGATGACGTGGATCAAACCTAAAATATTTATTTAAAAATAGTTTTAAAAAAAAGCCTCAGTGTGTCTCTTAGACAAGCGATGGACGTACCGATGTCTTCTCCTGGGCCCAGGTCCTACCTGACCCAAAAAGGCAGCTCTGGGTCCATGTGGCCCTCTCGCTGTCTAACTG